AACTGGTAACAGGGAATGCCTTTAGGGATTGAAACTATTTAGAATATGTATTACGCACCTTTCTTACTTTTAGATGACATGTTGCATTATTTATTGAATGACCCTCGTACACCGGTCTGCCTCCACTAATGTGCCTCTCGTCAAGATCATTCTTCCTTCTGGTATACCTGCAGACCTTCTAAACCCCGTCTCTATGGTCTCGATCCCAAAAGTAATGGTGCCTTGCCCCAAGTCCATCTGGGCTTTCCGGGCATGGAGAAAACCCATGCCAAGCAACATAGAGTCCTGTAGTAGAGCAATATGAAGATCCATTTCATCCTCTTGCTGACCAATACACAGCGATACAGGCCCCACTATAAATCCTTCCAACTCAGTGTTTTTCCTGCATGTCTCATGGTAACATGTTCCAGGATTGGGGGCTTGAGCTCCATCTGGTCATACACCCTGGTCGACAACACACTGACCTCAGCCCCTGTATCCACCACTGCTGTAACCCTAATGCCTTGCAAGCAGAGGTCAACAGTAAATCCTTTAGATCGGCTTAAACGATCGTTTGTAATAAAGGGCGCCTTACCCATTCTCACCGGTGCCCAGGAATTACCCATCCCCGCAGGCAGCATCAGATCAACACAACATGGGTCCATCCGCCACAGTTCTTGGGGTTCCTCGACAACCAAACGGTTGGTCCAAGCGGTTCCAGAATGGAGTATGGAGTTAAATTCACCAACTCCTCTTCCTTAGTGACCACTAACTTCTCAGTCAGACAAGGTTCCGATGATGGTGATGTCCAAAAATCAGCCTTGAGCCTGCAGCGCTTGCGCTGGCGCCGCACACAGGAGATGGGAACACCCATCCCAAGCTCCTTTGATTCCGACCTTGGGTACGTCTTCACAAGGAATCTCCCATCCTTGTCCCGCCCTTTTTCCTGTCAGTAACCACCGTTTTTCCTACAGCTCGGATGGGTCAATCTCTAGTGCCTCACCTCTCCACACTTGAAACATGCAGCAGACTTCCGGTCCCGCTCTGTCCATTTAGGTGATGGGGTAACACTCCTCTGATGTTTCTGAAGGGAGGCAGCTTCCTTCTGCCTCATCAACTCCTCGAATTTCTGTATCCTGCGAGCTCCTCCACAGCAATAACATTTACTCTTCCGGGATGCTTCGTGTCATGAGCAGAATCCAGATTTCTCACTTCCCTTGACGGCTTAGGCTAGTAACACCTGGAGGATGATAGAATTGCATGCGCTAAACGGCTTCCTCAACTGTCCTTGGATGCCAATTAAGTGCGTAAAAAACAGCATCCCTGTCCTCAGCTCCAAAGAATAACCGAGGTGTAGCATGAGTGTGCACATCAGGCACACTGGGGAAGGTTCAAGTTGCCAGGGTCAGGAGTCTATAGACCCATTGATGAAGTCACTTTCCAGGGTTCTAGATGGCAGATGGCAGATTTTAAGTTCAGTTGATATGTGAGATCGGGAGCAGAGGAGCCAAAACGCTTCTCAAATCTTTGCAAGATCTTACCAAGGTAGAGATGGTTACTGGTTTCTAACAGCAAGGTTTAATACTTCATCGCTGCCCCTTCAAGGGAAAAACAGAACTGGTAATGCTTCTCCACCTCAGTCCACAGCTGACTGCGAGACAAACTGACAAACGTATGCAAAAATGCCTTCCAGCTATCCTTACTATCATACCTGAGATCCTTGTACCTGGACCTACTCCCGACAGCTGCACTACCGGTGTTCTGTAAAGGTGAACTAAAGCCGGTAGGCCGGTACTGGCTGACTAGCATAGTGTCCAGCTTGGCAGGTCAACATATGTTTGACTGCATATGTGCTATCATCTCCCCCTCCCTTCCAGAATGGCAGGCAACGGTATCGAAATAGACAGGACTACTAGACGCTGACACAGGGACTCTTTGCTGCAGTAATACACAAGACATAGCCATTCTTAGGTGCACTGTTTGAATATCCTTACATGTAACTCCATGCCCTACAGATTGGGTGTGGTCAGGCAGTGGGGGTTGGGCATGTCACCCCTCAGTATTCATCAAGTCCCGGACTTAGTAGTGTGTGGCATTGAGCTCCGGGATTCAAATCATCGCCAAGAGGAGAGGACACACTAAAGTCTGCGGGTCTAGGAGCTGAGTTTGTACAGACAAATGGTTCCAGGTGAACCCTAAAGGGTCAACAAGTCTCGGATCATACTCAGAAGTGAAATGTGCAGGCCTCACAGGGTGTTGATTGGCAAATAGTGAATGTTTTGGTGGTGGGGCGGGATCAGACGAGTGGAGTATACCCTAGAAAAGCTTGGTCTAACTCCCAGGTTAGACCCCCAGGTTAGCTTTGTCTCCCACAAGGAAAGGTTGGCTACCTGCTGAGAGCACATGACCCCCAGAATACCGATATTCTAAACCTTACTCAAGGAAACCTCATTGTATTCGTACCTAAGTGGGCTAAAACCTAAAGTGCTGCCAATTGAGCCATACCTACACAGGCTACCTAAAGAGGACTCTAGGATATCCCTGTTGAGCTAAATTGGGGTTGGGAAAACCTGAACTCTCTCGTTGACATAATGTATAACGCACTACCCTCTCGCTATAAACGGCATATGGTGAATAACCCTTTCTTCCGAGATAACCATACAAACTACACGGAATATGAGGGTTAAATTTGTCTGACACTATTAATAGTCGGGCGCGTGTCCAGGCCTAAAGCCGACAAAAAATCAAGTAAAATCACAGACAATATTTGCAAATCAATTCAGAGAGTCGATTCAGAGAAATATGCATAAAATCAACACGTGCTATCACGTACCTAGCAGCATCAAAAATGGCGGCTCAAAGCTATGCCTAAAAATACCTAAATGACAGCAGTACAGGAATGTCTGGTCACGCAAATTGGATGCCCGTAAAGTAACCGTACCTGGGATATTCTTTACAAGTTTTTATAAATATTCAACATATAAACAAACACATACACAGTGGAGTCTGGCCCTGGTCGACCCCCCCCCCCCTCCAATGCTGTTCCAGACACGTCCGGTCTGCTCGGCACCCGCGTGTAGAAGTGAGGGAGTGTGATTATCCCGTCATTTGACGTAATACAGACAGGAAGCCGTACCCCGGGACAGTTGTTCAGATACTACATTAAGTCCTTTACCCCTTGAAAAATTAAAGTTTAAAATCATCATTTCGTAAGTTCTATGTCTTAAAAAAATAAAAGTAGACTTTTCACCACCACCACCACCCCCCCCCCCCCCCCGCTCCCAAAAAGAACAATCGCACGGAGATTTCTAATATTCATTTGTTTTCTTGCAACACTTAGAATTAAAGAAATGAACATTGAACGTTTTGTGAACAGCGAACACGAGCCCATGGTGAAGGGTGACTGCAAAACTGTGAACGGAGAGCGAACTCTGAATGGACGCTGAACGAATGGTGAACACACGGTGATCGATCGAACGGCTAGTGAATGGAAAAATGGGAAACTTAAATTAAGAATTCATTATCATTTATTTTAAAATGTAAGAATTTTTACAAATAAAAGGATTTACAAATTTGATTCCTAAATTGAGGGATCTCGTCAAACTCAAGAAATGCAGCTGAGGAAGCCTAAGGTATTCAATCCTTAATAGCAACAGATTCAATGAAATTGAATACATAACATACATACTCTGTATATTTTGACACAAATCCAATAATGTACTATAAGCTCTAAGGGTGGGATGTGTCCTAATTTATGACTTCAAAATTTTAAGTAAAAAACAACCAATTAAAAAAAAAACTTTTACGGACAAAAATTATTTTAAATTGACATTTTTATTTTTAATGATTCAATTTATCTTTCCATCGCCGCATTTAGTAATATTCTTATTCCTTGAATTATTAGTTTCAAAAAATCCTTCCCCCCCCATAGACATTAATGTAATCTTTGTTAATTAATTTGTGTTTAGTTGATGAATTGTTTTAGACTTTCTCGCGGGCAATCCTTTGCTACCATAAAATGCTTTTATTCAGAGATCAGAGTATTATGTACTTGACGGTAATTAAAGGGTAGAGAATTTTTTGAATATATGTTAATAATACATGTAGAAAATTATCTCGTTAACTTTGTTTTGCTTGAAACAAATTTTTTTTTTATAAAATTAATTATAAAATGCGTAGGACTCCAAAGTGCAATGAGAATCTAAAGTCAACGTTCTCTCCAAAGTCCGATAGACTGCTCTAAACCCAATTGATTTGATACGCCGAGTTCTGATTGTGGTAAAAAGAATTTTAACATTTGTGACATCATGGTGCTCCTGTGCCAAACTGCAATGCCAATCCATGCCAATGACAAATTGTTTTAAAAAGCAATTAAAATGCATGTTTACAAGACTTACCCTTTTTTTTTATATGAAAGCGATACTAACACTTGTCAGTTGAAAAATATATATTTTAACATACTTAGTATTTAATTTAAATATCTTGGGTGGCAGCAGGACTAACCCAAACCAGTTCAACGTGTGCAAAAACTAAATCTTAAAATCTCTCGGGTGGGTTCAAAGAAACACGTCAGTATTCAAGGATTAACCTCTTATCAGTCGAGTACTAACTAACGCTAATACCTCTGGTGGGTGGGGAAAATGAGCAAAATCAATAAAATTGTATGCAAAACGAATACTGAACCAAAGATGTTGAATGCAGGACAACGTCATGACGGCAGACTATTATCACGTCATAAACAGTGATTATTCCTCCTCACCATCGTACCTTGGCGTATCGATATCAGATCATCTCATGTTAGCGCAAAGTGTTTCATAGGAGACGAACCATTGGATTTTGGCGTGATCATCGGAGTTGTGCGTTTGTAAAGATACAGACCCATTGGGATTTGGCGCAGACCATCGGGGTTCGGTGAGACCATCACACCTTGGTGTCACCATCGCACTTTAGCTCTTTACATATGTTTAGAACACTTGAAAAACATAATTTCAAAATAAGTGTCCATTTGTAAACTATTTTGTTTATACCAGGTTCACGCTGCTGACAGGAATCTTTGCATTTCCAAAGTAGTACATAAAATATGTTTTTGTCATCAGCAAATATCTGTACACATAGACAGCAGAACTATCCCATCCGCCAACCCAGAGATTGTGTTTATCATCAATACAAAGAGCACGGGGATGTGGAGGACATTGTTCTGGTGTGAGTAAGAAAGACAAAATGTGACCGTCTTTGTCCAGAAGGTGGATACTGGAGCAATTCTCTTTAAATGTTATAAAGCCATTGCACACCAAAATGTGTCCCAAAACATCCGTACAAATTCCACAGGGCAGGAACCCAGACTGAGAGCGGTGACCAGAGTAAGAGAACCGGTATTCTCCTGATGCAGTCACCACCACAACCTGTCTGGCTTTGGTATCTGATGTACAGATGTCACCGTTGATATTCTCAGTGATATAGTTAACACTTTGGTAAAGTTTTCGTCTTTTAACATCCCACTGTATTTCCTGTAGCTTTCTTCCTTCTTTGTTGTATCTGGTTATTTTATTGTCTAGATTTCTCTCCATCCCGACAAATATGTGCTCATTGATAGGAGAGGAGTAGATAGCTCCAGGTTTCCAGTTCCCTGTTTGAATCAAATTGTTGATAGACATGTCATTAGCTACTCTGTAGACAGTGTTTTTACTGTAATCTGTATATAGAAGTGCTTTCTTTATTGTTACAGTATGATCACCGTAAATTTTCCTTTCAATGGTCATGCTGTTGGTTATTTTCTTTAAAATCTTTCTTTCCATATTATACTGCATGAGATTCCCAAAAACACCACTAGCCCAAAAATTATCGGGAGGTAAAGGAAACAAATGGTAAACATGTTCCTTGATAGTAATTTCACTAACTTTTTTGATAGAAGAAAGCTCAAACATTTCAGATGAATCTAGTTCAATTTTACCAAACTGTTTGCATATTTCCTCTTTGTGCAATGTAGGTGGTGTGAAAATTGGCACTTTGAGTTTAGCTTTGTTAGGCCTCTTTAGGGAAGCTAATGAAATATCAATATGGATTTTCATGAGTTCAGTTGGTTTTACTGAGAAAAGCTTACTCTCATAGTCTGAAATAATTTTGTAAAGGTAATTTATGTAGTCCTCTGTTCTCTTCTGTTGTTCCTCCATAACATTTTGAATGGAATTCTCGATCTCATCTATTTTTTTATTATAATCAGTAAGTACACTGTCAATAACAATCTTCAGTTCATCTGCTCTATTCTTCATGGAAACTCTTAATTTGCTAATTTCCCTCTTGACATTATCTTTCTTTTCTCCAATTGATCCAATATTATTTTTAGCTTTGGGAATGACTGTGTTCCAGATCTCAGTTATTTCCATCTGACATTGTTGTAAAATGTCATTGTATATGGTTTCAAGGTCACTGATGTCATGATCTCTGTGATTTTTGAAAACGCATGTAGAACAAAGAGGATCCTGGCAAACTTTACAGTAAACGTCTACATCTTGTGTGGGGTGGATCTTGCATTTTTCTGAAGGTAGTTTTCTTTTTCTCTCTTGATAGAGGACTATTTCATGTTCATTGTTTTTCTCAACATGGGTCTGTTTGCATTGGACACAGATTCGCTGGTGACAGCTATTGCAATAAAATTTGGATAAGTTCCTACAGGATTCCGTGTCACACTCGATATAATGTTGGGCTGAATCTGGTACTTGATCCATAAATATTGATCAAAACTGTACAAAGAAGAAATTTCATTTAATCAATGTGTAGATAAACAAAACATTAATGTATGGGTAGAGCTAACAACGCATATATAATTTATATTGAAAAGATGAGATTCATGGAAACATTTTACCTTTTCTTTGAAATTCCGATGTTACCAGTCTTGATAAGTGTCGACCATATGTAAAGTATGACATGTACCCAGATAGAATGTAATACACAGAACTATTTGTTTTAAACATATAAATCTCCCTTCAATCTTTGCACACCTCTTAACATTATAAGAGTCAATCGAAACAATCGATAAACGTAATAAAATATATACAAACTTTGTAAACGCCTAACAGCTTACCTCACGAGAACTAGATGAGACCAAAATGGGATTGGTGCAAATAGAGAGAAATATTTATCAGGAAAAATGTGAAATTTTACATTATTGATTTATAAGGTTTTTAAATTGCAAAAGAGTTAAATACAAACTAGTTCAGTCAATTTAGCTCAAAAACACACAAACCTCGAACAAATTGCAACAGAAAATTTTCCGGTGGAATTTTATTATTTATAATGTGCCTCTTGATATATCAAAACTCTAGAAAAAAACATTTGTTTAAACAGATTTTTTTCAATTTTCAAAAAACCCAATATTTGTTCAAAAATGCCAATAAATCTCCTTTCGAATAGACATTCAATTTATGACTAAAAATAGTTTGGCCAGGTATCTGATCTTGAAGTTTTTAGACATTCAACAACATCAGCTTAAGCTTACCTTTAGTTACCTTTTTAGTTTTAATTTATTGCAATTAAAGTATAGGCAATGAAAAAAGACTACAAATTAGTTTTGAAAATGACCACTTTTTATTATCCTCACATTTTATTGCGTCATACAGTTAAATTTTCAAACCTTTGTTCCACCAAATATGACGTGTTACTTTTGAATAATTCGGAAGTCCATATGGCTTTTGCCACTTCATCCTTTATGACGTGGCAGCTTCTTTGCTGCTGCATTCATATTTTTGTTCTCAGTATAAATTTACAAAATGCCATTTCAACTATGCTAGAATCAGTGAACTTGATGCAAATATTTAATCTCTGATGTCAAACTTTAGGCATTGAGTCGCCGATATTCGGTCTTTCTGTCTAACGTAGAAACAATCTAGAATGTGTTACATATACCTCTCACCCCCAAAAAAATGATCCAAAAGAGGAAAACAAAACATTGAAATAAATTCTAGGGACCACTTGTTTATTTGCAGAGACTGGAGCTCAATCGGAAAGGCAAAAGAAGCGAGTGTTTTCAGAGCCTATGCACGTACATTGATTTGTTGATGAACATTTTTTACAGCTCACGAATAAATTAAACCATTCATAAACAATCAAAAAATTTTAGTTAGTTTATTTAATTTTTTGAAGAACTTACTAGTAAACTGTTAAATTAACGATATTGAACAGTTTTTTTTTTCAAGACAATTATAGGCGTGTCTATTTAAAAAAAAATATATGTATTACGCAAATACATTTTTGTTTTGCTTTATCGTATAATTTTTTTTTCATCGGCAAACGCGCAGACAAGACGTCATGTCTTTGAAGCGCTTTTGTGACGTAATTATGTTTATGTCACGAAGGTCCCTTTTCGCTTGACGCAACTCATTTTTTTCTAAACTTTGATTGCTATTTTTCTATTGGTCCTACATTTCACAACAATTATTGATAAAAGTCAGAAAATGTATGCATTTGATAACACGTGCAACTTACCGTTATCAATATTTCTGTACTTCTCCAGCACTAGAGTTTTTACATTGTTGACCACCTGTCTCATGACACCCTGTACCATCTCAAGGTGAACTTTTGTGTCGTCAAACAGAGGAGTTCTTGACCTTGACCTACTGAGTGTTTCCCTGTAACTCTCTAACAGCTGTTGAAGAAGCAGGAAACAGACAGTGAGTGTGTCTGGTGTAGAAGATCCACATACATCATACAGACAGTCAACAGACTCTGCCAAGTACACAGGTCAGTTGATTTATTGTCTACATCTACCGAACACAGTCTACAATATAACATTTTTCATATTCAACCTGAAGAAAAAATTCAATATCAAAACGATCATCACACCTCATTTACTAGTACTAAACAAGTGAGAAATTTTTTATGCAATGCAGCTTAAGTTTCCAAATACTAGTAAAGTAATAAAATGTTGGATGAGCTTAAGTTCAAGCTCCTCCTACAATGCCTGTTTACTAACAAAAGGACGGTCTACATCAAAATAAATTTTTAATTTAACAAACCTGTGAAGAGACCTGACAAAATCAAATAGCAAAAAGATCAAACCTTTAACTTATCCAAGAATAGTGGAATTCTTTATGCAATGTAGTTAATTTAAGTTTCCAAATAGAGATTTGAAATAAAATGATATTCATTTAAACCTCCTCAAACAATGTTTGTTTACTCACACAATTTTTTAAGCATTAAGAACGCCTTATAATATACCCATATAATATTTAATTTTAAATTTCGTCTTAGATGTTTACCATGTCCTGTAGTAAAATAATTTCTCAGGGCAATTTTTGGGGAGTATGTTAGATAGTTACTCCTTGATGTGGATTCCTTTCAGCAGACAAGATTAAAGCATCTCCAAATCACAGTTCTGCAATATTCCTCCATGCAAAACTGACATAACATGTTGTCGCAAAGATATGGTTATACGTAAAACGTTAAAGTCATTCAATATTACATTGCAAGAAGGGCTGCCCTCCAAATGTACATGTCGAATCACAAAAGGTCGGATCAAAAGGGTAAATGACAGACTTTGTTTTAGGAAAAACGGCAACATACATATTAACTTTTGTTTTGTTTTGTTTTATATTCAAAATGAAAAAAAGCCAATTGTTAACAAAAACTCTCTCGCTGTCAACATATTATTCAGATTCAATGTAAAAAGAAGCAGACGAGGTCATAAATGCCAGAGTAAACCTTTGGTAACAAGACATGTTTGCAAAATACTTCAACCCCTCCCCTCAAATAATAGGAAATGTTGCAAGTCAAAAGAACATAAAACTGTCCAAAATTTATTGACTAAATCAAATACAAAACTTGATTTTGTATGTTTTTCTGATAATAATTCTGTAAATCAATTTCCATTCGACATTTGCAGTTAAAATTAGTTTAAGTAGCATTTACCTCTCATCTAAATAAATTTTCACCCCTCTGTTCCAAACTGCTCAGGAAACTGCTCTTCAAACTTAATAAAACTTTTAATGTAAGTCATTATACTCTCCGTTCTCTGGCGAACTGTTTTGTCAACACATCGAACCAAACAACTTGGTTCTTTGGTCAAACAAAATGCATGTTGCCCTTGAACTCAGTCTATAACTGTATCATATTAAATTTTATAAAATGATATATAAAGATAAAATAAATTTTTCGAATACTCTATTTTCCAGTATTTATAGGCTTAACAACTTAATTTCAACATCAACCAAAGAAACATTAACATCCCTCAAACAGAGTTCAATTTGAATAATGTGCTTCATGGCGCGTTTCAATTGATAAACTAAAAATAACACATCGACAGTAAAATGATTCTGCTTAATCTTCCCCTTTTCACATATACGACATTTTTATCAACTGTTTCTTTGTCAGACCATTTTAGTGTAAATTTTACAAGCGTCTTACTGGTCTCGTAAAAAGTTCAATCAAAATGCTGGGTTAACAACAATACAATGATTTATTGTTTATAACAAAAAGACACATAAAACAGTTCTTGTCTAAAAGTTATTAACTAATTTTTCAGCTCTCTGATCACTTTGGAGCATGCATTAACATCATCATCGAGCTTTGAAGAATATCTATCTAGTGTATAACATGGTATAATATGTCACGAGAAACAAAATATTTAAAAAGATAGTAAGCATTGTTATAATAGATCAATTCAATAAATTGTATGCGTGGTTTGTATTGTATACATTGTATGTCCTCGCAAGTTCCTTCTCAAACCACAGCACACCCATCTAAATAGGTATAATTGTCCACAGCTTTTACAAGATCAACCACGGTCATTACGGCATCAAATAATATCTTAACAGAAATAAAAATCCACAGCTTTTACAAGATCAACCACTGTCATACGACATCAAATAACATCTACACAGAATAAATCATCAACAGCTTTCACAAGATGAACCACTGCCATACAGCATCAAATAACATCCACACAGAATAAATCATCAACAGCTTTTCAAGATGAACCATTGTCATACGACATCAAATAACATCTACACAGGAATAATCATCTACAGCTTTTACAAGATCAACCATTGTCATACAGCATTAAATAACATCTACACAGGAATAATCATCTACAGCTTTTACAAGATCAACCATTGTCATACAGCATTAAATAACATCTACACAGGAATATTCATCTACAGCTTTTACAAGATCAACCATTGTCATACGACATCAAATAACATCTACACAGGAATAATCATCCACAACTTTTACAAGATCAACCACTGTCATGTATTGCACACACATTGTTTTATCATTCGGATTTTTTCCGTTATTTCATGAGTATGACAACTGTCACACGGCGGGTTTGACCGGTCGGCAGGGGATGCTCACTCCTCCATGGCACCTGATCCCACCTCTGAAGTATGGGAGGTCCGTGTTTGCTCTGCTATTATTTTGTATATTGTTTAATGGACGTTGAGATTGAATACTGTTCGAAATTTTCATTTCTTTCTTGTATTGTATACAATGTATGTCCTCACACGTTCCATCTCAAACCACAACACACCCATCTACACAGGAATAATCATCCACTGCTTTTACAGGATCAACCAATGACATAAGACATCAAATAACATCTAAAATTGACATAGTCTTCATATTCCCTATATACAGTACTGAAGCTTGAGAGCAGATATGCTTTGACAGGATCTGTAATTTGTGTAGCCTTGTTTTTAAATCTCTCAGAGGTACATCAACAGTAAGATGTCTG